GAGGAAGAACCTTCTTACCTCCTCTGCCATTTCCAAAAGGGCTTTGTTGCTGCTTTCCCAGCGAGACCGGTACATGGTGGTTTCTTTCTCTAGCTTCTTGATCTTCTTTGTCATCTATGGCATGGCAGACAGAAAGAGACAAGGAAGGTGAGCTGGGCAGGGTAGCCAGCCATTCAGGGAGGTGCTCTGCAGGGTGGGTGACCCTCTGCTCCTTACACAAAGGAGAACGGGGCTTCCACCCTTACTACTTCTGGCAGTTGCTACCTACACAAGAACGCAAGGAAGAAAACAGGCATGCTGGTCCCGGAGGTCCAACAGATAAGGGTTGAAGGGCGCCCTCTCTGCCTGAAGCAACAGCTGCTCAGCTGAGTTCTAAGAATAAAGAGAAGACCTGGCTACCTGGGCGGCAGGACGGGTGCGTGTGTGTGTGTCTCCTAGCTCCCTGCCAGGGGTAGCAGATAAAACAGGCAAGTGCTGCGGTCTTCCTTTCCAAGGCAGAGGAAAGCAGCTCCCTGCTTGAAAACAGGCAGCCGCACAAGCAGAAGGTACCTTCTCCATTTCTTGCTTGAAGGTGGTGAAGACCTCGCTGCTTTTGGAGAGTGTGTTCTGAAACTCTTCAAACTTCTCTGTGTAGAGAGCCAGCTGGAAAGGAAAAAAAGACGAAGAGGAAAAGGTTAGGAAAGGACCAATTTCTCCCTTTAGCGATCCACTGATCAGGAGCGAGAGAGAAAGTCCTTCTTCAGCGAATCTGGCACTGTATACTAAAATGATTACGTACCCTTGACTAAAACCCTGCACTGGGCTCGAAGGGAAGGGCCTTGCCAGGGGCCACCTACAAAGTTGCCTTACATGAGATAAGAGTGGTTCCTCCCAAATCTGATTTTCAAAGAGACGACCACCACCCCCTGGAGCACCGAATCATCCCTTCTGCTCAGGGCGCTCATCCTTTCCATAGAAATCAGACATCCGCTTATTTTGTCCGCCAGCCTAGAAAGGAAAGAGAAGCAAGTCGTGACAGAGGAGGAGGTCAAGTCAGAGGAGGTCGGCTTACCTGCTGCTTGAGATGCGTCTCCTGTTGCTTCATCAACTCACACATTCGTTGGGACTCTACAGCTTCTTTCAGCAGCTGTTCAAGAAAAGGAAGTCAAAGGGGGGGGGGAAGCCAGTAAGAACAACTAACTCACCACACCTGTAGAAGGGGAGGGACGATAAACCCTTGGCAGGGGACCTCCTACCCCCGTTATCAAATTCAGAGCATGATTTCATAGCCAAGCAGGGTCTGATCTAACTTGGATTGCAGACAACAAGGGTGACATCCAACATGAGCTCTACTTAGAGGAGACCCACTGAAATCGTTAGGGCTTCTTTGCAAGACTCACAAAGTCCTTCTCCCGCTGGTGTCGCTCCTCAGCCTCCTTCAGCATCTCCTGGGCCTGCTGGAGTTTCGCATCTACCAGCTGCTGCTGCAGATCCTTGTGTTTAAACACCTTGTCTATGTGCTACCAGCAGAAAAGAGGAAGAGGCGGTCAAGGAGGTGCAGACACGGCTGGCTGGTGGCATTCAAACCCACTCATTACTCCCTCCCTCATCTCTTCCAGGTGAGCAGCCCGATTCTGAAGTGACTGCTATCGTTAAATGGCTGTGGGTTAGAAACCCTGGGTGGTTGGCTGCACACGGATGTGGGAGGAGATCCTAATGTGTACCTTCTTCCACATGTGTCCCTGCGTATAAATTTATTGTCTGCCCGTGCACAAAATAAAGCCACTTTGAGATACTGTATTTTTAAAAATTTAAAACAGAAACAAACTCATTGTGGGACCTCAAAGATTAAAACCTTCACTTCAATAGGCTTTTATGGATTTTTTTTTTTGGTTGACTGTGCTGTATTAACCAAACTGTAATCACAAAAGTTTGTACTCAAACATGTTAACTTTTAAAGTGCCACAATACTTCTCTTTTTATTTATTCATGGAAAAGTAAATGAACCCGGGTAAACTCTCGGAAAACATATGCCTTTCCAGGACTTGCCCTGCAACGTAGAGCTGATTTTCCATTTGGAAGAGCTAGATTTTTTCCAAACAACAGACAGTCCATGACATATTTATTCCTGATCTCACAAGGCTGGCATGTTTCCTGCTGACAGACCACACAACGTGAAATCTATGCTGATCCTCTACGGGGCTACCCGACAACCCTATGCGAGGATCCTTGCACCTGCCATGAAATCAAGGTCCTGCCAATCTGGGGCCTCTCTCCCCCACCACATCCCGCCACCCTTATGCAGAGATTTCTCTATCCCAGCTCCCACCCACCCACCCACCGGATCCGGGCGCCCCACCCACCTCTTCCCGCAGTTCGTACTGCTCAATGAGTTTCTTCAGCCTTTCCGCTAGCTCCATGTTCTCCTGCCGCAGCTTGGAGTTGCGCTCATTGTGCTGCTCCATCTGGGACTGGATGTCATTGAGAGTCACCTGGAAGTGGGACGTGACCTCCTTCCGCTTCTCTTCCTCCTCCCGGGCTCGCTGGACCCCCTCCTCCTAGAGAGACAAGACGGGGACAAGACCTCAAAGGTCAATGAGAAACAGAACAGTTGCTACTGGAAAGGGAAGGTCGTGAAATCTTCCCTAGTACCTCCGACAAGAAAGTGGGGGTGACAGGGAGAGACCCCACCCTTGAAGAGTCACAGCCAGCTGGCGCTGGCAATGCTGGGCTACATGGAAGTAAAGAACCAGCCATTCGTTATAAACCATAATAGAATGGTACCTGCCCAACCCCAGTGGAAATGTCACCTCTTCTGGCCCTGATGTTGTCCTCCCCATTCCGTTCATGAACAGGCAAAGGGAGGCTCCGCCACCCTCTCTTAACACTAGCTTAAGGGGGATACAGCCACCCACAAGCCTGCCGTGCCTGGCACGTCCCCAGTGATGGCTCCACAGCAAGTGGATTCCATCCTCTTCGAATGGTGGGCAGAGCCGGTCGCAGCTGCCCTTTGGCTTGCCCTGCTCCACAGGACGAAGGGCCTTTTGTGGCTTTAACTGATTCTGCACCTATACTGTAGAAACACCCCCAGCCCCAAAATCTGTGGGATCTTTATACACCGATTCAATTATCCGCTGGTTGAAAATACTAAATAAAGCCCTCCAGAAATACCTATTTGTGTGTAATTCCAGGACGTATTTACGAGAACTAGCTACTAAATGGAGCTAGAGACCACGCTGTGTATAGCACTTATATTTCTGCATTTTTTCAGCATGGGGGGGGCACAAAGTGGCAATTCACAAGGCGGAGCATGGCGACTTCACTTGCCTTGAGGGTGCGATTGTGTCTCTGCAGCTCCCGGCAAAGGCTCTCTAGTTTGCTCCGTGCCAGGATGGCCTTGCTGTGTTCGCTCCGGAGGTGGTCCTTCTCCTGCACTAGCTGAGTCTGCTTCTTCTGGAGGATCTTCATTTGCTTCTGAGAATTTCTGTGTTCTTCCAGCTGTCAGGATGCAGACAGGCACAAGAGAAGGTTCATGAGGAACCACCAGATCCCCGGGGGGGGGGAGGAAGGGGGCTGCAAAACCCATGGGTTTTGTTGAAGGTGATGGGTACGGCAGCTTGGTGCCATTCTCCATAGTGAGAACTGTTTCTGTGCTTCATAAGCAAGCTAAATGTATTACCTTGCCTAATGCTAGATATGGGTTTAGAAGGCACCCTTCCTTAACTTTGGCGCTGACTCTGATGTTGGGAAAGTGGGAAGGCAAGAGGAGAAGGGGACAACAGAGGACGAGATAGTTGGGCAGTGTCATCGAAGCCACCAGCATGAATTTGACCCAACTCTGGGAGGCAGTGGAAGACAGGAGGGCCTGGCGTGCTCTGGTCCATGGGGTCACAAACAGTTGGACACAACTAAATGACTAAACAACAACAACAACAGCAACAACAACAACTTTCCTTAACTGAGGCTGCAACTTTATGGCCAAATGCCATGGGATTTGCTCCAGTTACAAAATACATTCTTTTTTTTCTGACCTCAAAAAGGAAAGGGCAATTAAAATCCATCCTGCCCTGTTTGTTCCTTACGTGATTTTTTTCTGTGCCATTGGAGGCTTCTCCTTTTTTCAAGTTGGAACAATTTGCAAGGTTATTTCCTGTTAAAGGTACTGGAAAACTTTTTTGAACCACTGGGCAAACTGTTTGGGCAACTAGCTCTTTTTATCTGCTGTATGGATAGCAAGCCTTGACTGGACTGCAGGCCAGTCAATTCACTACAAAACAGGCAAATATCTTGTCCATGTTCGGCCTGCCAAGTTAGCTCCTCAAAAAAAAAGACAGAAAGATTTGCTGTTTCGGCCAGTGTTTGACGAGTCGCATACTGGTTAAGGTTCGCTTTATCTTTCTGCCTTTGTAGGAATCCCAGACTCATCCCAAACCATAAAGACAGGCAGACACACACACCCACACACACACACACACACACACACACACTCCTTCCCTCCCTCCCTCCCGGCTTTCCTCTCCCGATGAGCATGGAACAGGCCCTCCCTTTCCCCTGCCATTCATTCAAGCTTCCCTCTTGCCTTGCCAGGAACTAACCAGCTCTGCATACTTCTTGCACAGGGCTGCCAGCTTCTCCTCAGGTGTGCTGAGAGTGTTCAGGGTCTGCATCAATAGTGTTATCTCCTTGCCTGAAACAAAAGGGAGAGAACAGAACTACAATCAGGACATAGCAGAGAGAACTAGTAGCAGAGATGTAGACAACAAAGGAGTCTGGGAAATTATAAAACCTGTAGAAGGTGGAAATGATTAGCTCCTGCATTCAGGATGAGAAGACAAACAGGCACACACACACCCTTACCAAGCCCCTTGGCCTTCTTTTTCTCCTGGGCTCGTTTCTGATCACGTTCACTGCTCTCCTCGCTGGCTCCCCTGGGGCCCTCCTTTTCCCCGTTTATTTCAGGGCAACTCTGCTCCGGCTCGCAGTTCCTTGGGGATTCGCTCCGGCACTTCTCCGCCTCCTCCAGCTCTACGGGCTCACTCTGGCCATTATCGTCTCCTGGGCCTTCCTGGTTGCTATCCATGCAGTAGGTGTTCAGGATGTCCTCCAGCTGCCTGCTCAGCTCTTCCGAGACGTCACAGGTGGCAGGCTGGTGGGGCCTTGACAGGGCCTCCTCTACGACGGGTGCTGAGGAGGCAGAAACAGAAAAAGATAATATAATGTCAACACAGGAAACATCATGTTAAAAGCATACTAAAGAGAAAGGGGGGAACCTATTTATGCAGAGACCGTCATTGTTATCATAAGATAAGCAACAAAGCGGGAAGTGGGCAACTATCTTCCGGATGTTCAGGTTCAAGACAAGGGATGGAGATTTTTGGAGGCTTTACCTTGCCTCCGGGCAGACACCAAAGAGTTAAGCACAAACAAAAGTAGTAAGCGTCTGGGCAACACAGCCTGCCGTCACACTTACCATCTCTGCTTCTCTGGCTCTTTTCCTCGGCAACAGCATTCTCGACGTGTCCATCAACCAAAAGCTTTGCACTGCATGTTTCAGGCACGGCTGGGCATTCACTGCTCCCAGCTGTTCCTAGAGAGGCCTCAGCGAAGTCACCATCTTCCAGGCTTAGGCTGCTGCTTGTTTTCGAAGGGCTGGCTGGCGAAAGGGCAACTTTGCTTTCTCCATCTTGGTTCTTCATGGTATTTCACTTTCAAAGCCACTTTCGGCAGATTCTAAGGGGGGGGAAAGAGCGATGAGTCCCTATTTTGCTTTAAGGGACAGGAATGTTTCATGCTTTCCATGTCACGTGTTGGCTTTTAGGGAAACAGCACACACGATGGGGGGGGGGGAAACAAAACAAGAAACAACAGCAACTTCTGTAGTTCTGTTGCAGCAGCTCCACTGGCTGTCAATCTGTTTCCAGGCACAATTCAAAGTGCTGGCCCTAAACGTCTTGGGCCCAAGCTAGGTCAAGAACTGCATTTCCATTTATGAGGCCAATCAAGTGTTAAGATTATCAGGGGAGGCCTTTCTCTGGGTCCTGGCATCTTCACAGGTGCGTTTGGTGGGGACACGGGACAGGGCATTCTCGCAGACAGACTCTGGAACTCCCTCCCACTAGAAGCCAGGCTGGTGCCATCTTTGGCAACCTTCTGCAACCAGGCGAATACCTTTCTCGTCAGGCAAGCTTTCCCTGAGTGACTGCCTGCCTATGCCTTTTAAATGGATGCCTGTGCCTTTTATCTTTGAATGTGTTTTTACTATAGTTTTTGTTTACCATTTCTCAGAGTGGCAACTGATTCTTTTTATAATTTGTATACTGATTGCCTTTTTAAACATTGCCTTTTAACGGTGGAAGCCACTTTGTATCCCTTTTAAGAAGAAAGGCTGGGCCAAATATTTTAAATAAACACAGCTTCTACAGCCATGGAGATGACCCATTGTTACAGTTCCTCCTGCGGCGGCACTTCCAACGGTCACTTCCCCTCAACCTGGCAGCCTGTTTTACTTTCTTTCAGGAGTTTCGCAACCCCTTGCGGTGACACCTCCCTGCCCTGCCTGCAGAGTCATGGAACGGAGCCTAGCCTTTCCCCGGTAACCCAGGGAGTGAGAGATGATGCAGATTACTGGCTCATCCCTTCCATGCTGTCAAAAATAGACAGAGCTTTCCCACAGACGTTCCGGCCACCCTACAAATGTACGGCGGCCTCTAGAAGCATTCCCGGCCCCATGGATTTTACTTTCCCAAGAAAAAAGTTCCCAGCTTCTGACTCTGGACCGAGGAGGAGTGCCTGGCCTTTACCGGGCATCTCGGCCAAGCACCGCTCCCTCCCTTCTCAGCAGCCTTTTCGCACCACCACCCATCGGCCCCCCTTGCAAAGTCTCAGGTCCCCTCGCACCACCTCCGTCATTGCCTCGGGAGGACCCTGGCAGCCAACCCCTCCCCCATGGTTTTTGGTGGATGCCTCTGCTTCATCACCTCAGCCCCTTCCTCCCCAAATTCACTGCCTTGCACCCCGCACCGCTCCCTCCCTTCTCAGCAGCCTTTTCGCACCACCACCCATCGGCCCCCCTTGCAAAGTCTCAGGTCCCCTCGCACCACCTCCGTCATTGCCTCGGGAGGACCCTGGCAGCCAACCCCTCCCCCATGGTTTTTGGTGGATGCCTCTGCTTCATCACCTCAGCCCCTTCCTCCCCAAATTCACTGCCTTGCACCCCCACCCCCACCCCAC